GCAGCTCTGTAGCTCTTTCCATTGTTGAGTTATTGCAAAAATATCCATGACCATTATTTTTTTAAACAGACATTAGTAATATGTATTAATTCTATAGAATTAAAACAACGATCGACAAGTGATTATTTATTATTATGTGAAAAGCAAGCAAAGACAAGAGCTAAAATGTAATTAGGGGTTGACCAGCTTCTAGATCAAAGTTCGACTTAAATAACCGAAAGTACTGTAGGATGAGATCAGATCCTGTCAAAACAAATATTCGAGCGGATCAGATTGTATTATAAGATCTCTTCAAAAAGTTTCTCTGATAGGAGCTGATCTGTTGTAATAGTCTAGTTCTTAGGACTGAGTCATCCGAAAAGTTTTGTCCGGCTTCGGGAACGACATTTCAATAACAGAAAAAAGTTTCTTTAATTCGAATATGTTTTTTTTAAAGATAGAACAAAAGTTGTTCGAACAGATTAGTTCAGATCCGAGAATCTTTTTAAGAGTTCCTCAAATGCGAACTAGAATTGAACTTGTCGACCTCTATTCATCATTACTAGGAAAGTTCCAATAGTTTTGATGATTTTCTCCTCATTCATACTTGATGTCTATGGAATCAAATGCAATTACTCAGTCAAACAAGACGATTGTTCATGTATAGACATGAACAATTTATCATTGTGAGCATACATTTTGATTTTTTTGTGTACTTAGTCTGTTCATCATTGTTATCTGTCAACAAAATCTATTCATACAATGCACTTTTTTGATAGATTATATGCTTTAAAAGTATCCTATAATAATGAATTTTTACTAACCGCTGGGTATAAGATAATATCAGATGCCAGTTCTTCGATGTATAAGTTCTCTGGAGAGCTCTAATTTAGTCTTTCTTAAGGCGAAAGAACGAACATATCGTCTGACGACGAATGATATCTGTATGTAGAATACTGTCAAAACAAATTCCTAAGTCTGATATTTTCCATACAATAGAGAATTCTGAGAATTGATTATCCATTTTCTTACTCGTCCTAATTTGAACTGAGAAGTAGAGATCTTACACATGAATTATCTACACTACCCATGTCGTTAAAACCGTTAGTGAACCGCGGTTAACGATGATTCTCTTGCTTAATTTTTTTGTATCTCAGTACATCAGTTTTTTTAAACTATTAGAAATATGTTTGATTTCAGTAGATATCACACTGCCTTATTATTGTAAGCGCTCTCAAGCCGCCCGTACCGGCCACATCGACTATTGTCACTTAGTTTTCGAAATTGATTATTTATTAAAGATGATGCTGCAAAAAAAGTCATTAGCTAGAAGACTGAACCCATAGGAAAAGTGTGGCGTCATCTGACACAATATACTGTGACATATTAAAACTGCCTTTTTTGAGTTAAAATCGATCTCTTCAACACTCAAATATTAATTTAATAGGCAAATTATATAAAACTTTATAAAAAAAAAGAAGTAAACCGTTTAAACCATCGATTTTGATAAAAAATTGACGACATGCACACGTAGCGCTATAGATGATCTGAGAATTATTAAACATTTGGTAATTTGTATAATACAAGAGAGCAGCTATAATTTTATTGTTTACATAGAAGAATTTCATTACTGTGAGAAGCCCGTCAGGTCCAAAATTTTTGGACTCAAATCCGGTGGATTGAACGATTTTTGAACCAGATAGATCAAACTTTTTCGCACTCAGTTGAATCGTACTTTGGTACTTTCAATGAAATTTTCTAATAGAAATAGGATAGCCGCCCCAAACATCTGAGACACTTTTTTTCTCGGTTTTTTTATTGAGTGACTAGCGCGCCCTACACATTTCTCAGAGGAGTCGTCTGAGAAATGTGTAGGATAGAATCCATTGGATCCAAAGTTTCCGGGCCTAGATCCAGTTAACAGAAAAATTTCAGATCCGGACTTGTTCGGGTTCGAATCTGGAACGAATTTGACGGGTTCTATTGTCGTAGCATATTTCTACGAAGAATAAATATTATAAAATACTAACCTTAAACTTCGCATAGATCCGTTTTTCATCACCGACTTCATCTGATCGACTTGAACCTTTACCTTTATATCTAAATAAACAAATCAATATCTTAAATAAAACTATCCCCAAAAAATATCTTACAAAGGAAATGTATCAAGGCAATCATTGAAACCTTCATAATCATAAACATTTTCTAATTCGGTGTCAAATATCTAACGAAAAAAAAGAAAAGACCATAAACAATATATAATTTGTTTTTTTACATCAAATGTTTGTAATAATGTTAATTCTTTAAGACGATCAGCTTCGATAAGATCGAAATTTTCATCAACAGCTGATTTCGACTAAAATATTAAATCATAGAAATATCGTTTATAAAAAAACAAAAAGTATTTGAATTTTACTTTTTTAGACTCTTCCAACTGCTCTATTTTTTCAGCGGCTAAGGCTCGTAATGTTTTGTGAGCTTTTCCAACACGTAGAAATATTTGTTTAGCTCTATTCCACAAATTCAAATGCTGTTTAGCAACAGGTGCTACAAGAAATTTATCATTCGAGAGAAATGAAATTAAAAAAACTTTCAAACAAACCTGACTCATCTTCAAAAAACTCGGCATAAGCATCATAACTGTCTTTTAAACCTGCATTCATATCTAAAAGACGCCGTTGCATTAATTTCTATTAAAATATTTAAAAAAAAGTAAAAATCAAAGAAAAATAAATAATTTAATACTAGTTTTGCTTTTGATGCATAATATTTATGCCACCATCCAGCTGTTTTTTCCATATCATTTCTTTTTTGTTTTTCTAATGTTGTTAAAGATCCATCTTCGTGCGTTTCATTACTAGGTAATTCAAATGTCAAATCAGATTTTTTTACACGATTTTTGCCCTTATTTGGTTTCCCACTAGATTCATCATCTCTCTGATTTTTTGTTAAAAAAAGAATAATTATTAATAAAAAAGAATATTTTTTTCAATTACTCCTTTCTTTTGTGCCAATGAATCAGCATGGATAATTGATACTTGACTATCACGATCTGCATTGCTTTCAAACTCAACCAATTTTGTTTTTTCTAAACTATCCTTTCCTGTCACTGGAACAGCTAAAATGGAACCAATAATTGAGATATAAATTTAAAAACATAAAAATAAACCTTCATTTGCATCAGTAACCGATTTTTGAACGCGATTAGAATCATACGAAATTCTTTTTGATGATTTATTCACAGAATTAGTTGGAGCTTGACCAGTTGATGTTGAAAGACTAATAGGTTTTTCAAGATATGTTCGTAGATTAGTTACAACTAGATTGCCAACGACTTCTTTCATTCCAAAAGGACGACACTGTACACAAAGTATACTCAAATGTGGCCAAAAATTATCATCATTTGGTAAATTCTGCAAAACAAAGAAGGAAAACATATTTTTCGACAATGAAAAATGGCTAAATTTGTTTTGTTTTCATACAAGAAAAAGTGTATATTTGTCTGTTTCAGTAGGTGATGATTCAAAATTTGGATCTATTTGTACATCTTTTATTGTTTTTTTTATATGTGCCCCAGCACATTCAATTGTTACTTCAACTTCTTGAATATCATGAAGATTAATTGGACGATATTCACGTAAACCCCAAAACAAAATCTATTAAAAAATATTGTTATTTTATTCAAATAAAAATTAAATATTAGAGTTACTTCGATTTGATAAGTTATAAAATCAGGCACCAGTAATAATGGAATTTGATAAATTTTATTTTTCACAGTTTTAGTAATATAACTTGTTGGTGGATAATTATCTGTTGTTATTGGAATTTCTTCAAGTTCACATATTGTTCCAGCTTTTTGTGTTTCCTATTTTCAAAAAAAAGAATCCGAAATTTTTGAGTGAGACAAATTTCTTTTTTAAGATGAGTTTACTTGATTAACTTGAATAAGTTCAAATAGAGCTAATAATTCTCCAGATTTTTTTCCACCAAGTTTAAATTCATACCATTTAAATAAAGACTGTAGCGATGGATCATCTCGGTTAGATAAATCAAGTTTAGCCGTCGTACAAAAACGTCCAATTAAATCTGAACAATCACCACTCTAAAATCATTAACAGAAAACCCGTGTTGTTCAAACCGCTCAAAAACTGCCGATTAGCCATGATGTTTTTGCTTCATTTTTTTTTGGTATTTTGGCCCAGGTTAAACAAGAACTAACGTAAACGACCTTATGCGGAGAAATATGGCGATTTATACGGTACAGTATTACGATCGCACATCTTCGTGTCATATTCGAAGATATACGACGATATACGGAGAAAAAACCGATCATTTACGATCCCCATTTTGTTGCGTATTTCTCCGTATAGAGTCACGGTGATACACGATCGTAATACTAAACTATGTATATCGCTAAAATACGGTCGTATACGGTCGGTAACAGGCGTATACAAATTCCATATTTGTCGATCTGACAGTGCATGAATATTTTTAAACTCTTAGAAAAATGTTAGATTTCACTCGAAACCGCAACTCCGTGTTATTGTGAGCGTACTAAAACCGTCTCTACCAGTCACATCAACTGCTTTCGCTTA